TACAATGTCCAGGTCTGATCTTTGGAATTATTAGATGTTTTGCTCCAACAAATTGTCTCTCAAGCAAACCATTACTTAAAATGCCACAAATGTTTAACTGAGCAAATGTGCATAGGGCAGAGAGAGAAGCTCTTCATCCTCTTGCTTCTCTGGCTCTTTGTTCAGAGGTATAGGTTTGCCAGCATTTCCTGGTGTATCTTTGCACTAAAAGAAATTTTCATGTACCTTCTGTCAGTCTATCTTTCAATCATCTATTTAAATATCTCCCTATCATCTACCCATCATATCTGTGTCTCTACTGAACATCACACTATCCATCCATACCCACTAATATAATGATCCCCATGAAGTCAAATACAAAGAAAGTGCAGGAAATCTATCCACAACACTAAAGACATAGAAAATCCAGCAGAGAGCTTGGATCCCATAGCAATAACCTGCATGAGTTGAGCTGAAAACCCAGAGCCCATTACAGTGACTCATGCAGGTCTGTTTCACAGAACTGTGCAGGGAAGACCCAAAGGTCAGCAGTGGGATCTAGGAAGTCTGTGGCAGCAGAGTGAAAGATCTGTGCCAGTAGTTTGAGGGTTCTGCAGTAGAGCTGAGAGCGATGCTCAAAATAAGGACCAGGGCTCCTCTGAAAAGTGCCACACCCATCCTCAGTGACAACAAGGACCCTAGCTCCTTTGTTGATGAGGACAGCTGTGTTCATATCAGGGATCATTCATGACAACTTCTCCTGGAGATGAACAGCACACATCTTCCCCTCCAGAGCTAGGAAGCAATGCTCAAAGTAAGGACCGGAGCTCCCCAAAGCGAATCACAGCCATTCCTGGCAACAAGGTTCCAAGCTTCTCTGAGGACAACAACTGAGTTCATGTCTGGGGAGACAACAGGAGAACGAAGGCTCCAAACAACAGCAATGCTTAGGAGAACACACAATGCTACTCTTCCTTTCCAGGTCTCACTTTTATATTGGTGATAGTCCTCAGGTGGGCCACTGACACTGAGCACCGTGCTGATTCAGTTCAGCTGGGGTTAAAATTGACCACTAGTTGGCAATCCACTGCAGGCTGTGTGGGGCCAGAGGTAGGGGTGGTAGGACAGACAAAAGATGAACATGGAATGGGCTTTAAGCAGGCGGGTGGAGAGTGTACAGCAAGCAGCTTCCACAGAGAAACAAAGCAAAGTCTGTCTGAAGGAAGAAGCTCCTCACTTTCCAGATCAGAGCCCAGGGGATGCAGCCACTGCCTGCTCTGTCATGAATACGAAGCATCCCCAGCCGTGCATGGGTGGTGGCGACCCTGCAGCTCCATGGTAACTGGCATGGGGGCTGGGGACAGGGTCGTCTGAGAGCTGGAGCTGGAGTGTGTTCACTTAGCCCCCAACACCCGCTCAGAAGACTGATGCATCTTTCTCCAACTGAGCCCTTTGGCACGGGCTTTGGAAGATGCACGAAACCACATAGTGATGCTGAAGCCTCCCCAGTCAGATGGGAGCCAGCCATAGCCAGGGCCGCCTCCCGAGGGTGGTGCTGTGTCCACTCTGGTGGCTTCTCGTTGGCCATGCGGCAAGCAGAGTGGTGGACGTTGCCCTTCTCCTGCCCGGATCTGAGGGTGGCTTCCAGACACATCTAAAGCAAATCCAAGTTCTGTCTTCAGCCTTACTTCTCATCCTTTCTGCCTCCTCCCCCGTTTTCTCTCACTCATCCTCACGGAGAGACTTTGCATGACTGACCTCGTCGTCCTCACACCTGCACTTCTGTGGCCCTGGACCCTCCTGAAACATCGTGTTTCTTGGCTTATTTACATCTCTTCCAAGCCCTCACTGGAAAGAAAGCTGCTGAGGAGGAGGACTTGGCCTTGTGTGGCCTCCAGTTTTTATCCCGGGAGAAGAGTCTGCAGCCAGGTGGGAATGTGGAGGCTCTCTGCTGAAGGAACGCCTCAGTTATGATCCTCCTGTGAAAGCACCAACCTTGTCTCCTGTGCTGGAGAAAATCTCAGCAGACAGGTAGACATGGTGATCCCACTGAATCAGGGGAGTGACACTCCGACCTACTGTCTGTCTGTTCCGAGTTCCAGTTCTCTAAAAGCGAAGAAAGAATTTTAGGAAAAACAGAGGTTTAGAGCAGAATATATTGATTCAGAGAAAGAAACCTTCTGTCTGAGACAGAGAGAAAGACAGAAAGACAGACAGAAGGGATCCTGAGCAGGCTGTCAAAGACTCTGTCTTTTCTATGGAGATTTATAGAACAAATCCATGGGGTGAGATGGGTTGAAGGTGGGCATAAAGGAACTTGCAATGCGGGCATAAGGTGGTCAGAACTGTGATTAACCAATAAGATTAACTGGTCAGGTAAAGGTGATTAAATCAGGGACAAATGAGGAAGCCAGCCGTGTAGAAAGCGAGTATTCTTAGAGAGCAGTGATTCTACCATAGGGGGTTGGGATGGTGTTTCCTGACTTCCTCAGTGTGAGAGAGACTTATTTAGAAAATCAGTCCTTAGGATGTGGGTGCATTTGTTTGATCATTTTTCTTGAATCTAGGCCCACAGCAGGAGGTGTCTGTCTCCCCTACATGTGCAAGGTATCTGGGCATCTGCACTGGTTCTTTCAAGGACCCTAACTGTGCCTAGAACGTTTCTAACTTACTCAGCTGCCTGGTGACTGAGTTGTTAGGATGAGCCTAGCACAAAGGGTCCCTGCAGGAAGGAGATGTGGAGGAAGATGTGTCCCTGTATGTTCTCCCATGCGGAAAACCGCAGGGAATTCTTCCATTGTATGAGAACAAACAAATGAGTGAGCAGAGCTATGGAGGACCTCTGTGAACCTGACCACGCCTGCCTCATTTCTTCATTCAGCAGCAGGACTGGGCCATCCCAGAACTGTGGGCTAGACAGCACAGAGCCTGAGGAAATGGGCTGGGGAGACCCTGGGTGACCCAGATTCCCCGTGGGGAGAATGGCTCATGTGTCAAGGCCATAGCCGCTGGGTGGGGACAGGTACCTGATACTGCTGGGTTTGGAACAACTGATTTCCAAGACCCTATTAGGCTGTGGTGAGGAAGGATGGCCATGGATGTTGGCCAGGACAGGCTAACAGTGCCCAGCTGCTGATTCACACCTTGGAGGAGGTGTGTGTCTCTCTCCCTTCCTCTCAGCCTCTTCCTTGGCTGAGAATGTGTACAACCAGAGTGCCTTTAGAACCCTCAACTTCATGCTTTGTGGGCCTTAGGACCAACCCCTAGAAGAAGCAGTAGGTGTGGGCAGTTATCTCTTGCTCAGAGTGTGGTGCAAAGAATGGGAGTCCCAAGAGCAGGGTGGGAGGAGGAACCTGATTCTGCAGTTATGGCGGTCGATGGAGTCCCTGCTGATGGGCCTGCAGGTCCCACTCCAGCAGTCACCAAGGCAAGGCAAAGACCTGGAGCCACCCCTCAGGAGAAGCTGTGAGCTCAGCACTGTGGCACAGCAGCCCCCAAAACAAAAACACTGGGCCTGGTGCCCTGGAGCAGGTGCTGGATACAAACTCTAGTCAGGAGGAGGGGCTGTGATTCTCTGGCAGGGGACCACACTAGGCACAGGAGCTCCAACCTACTTGTCAAGCCTTTGATGATGCCCATGCACTTTTGCTAGGTGGCCTGAGAGGGGTTAGGCAAGCTGGTGGCTACTGTGGGGAGCACTCTTGGAGCCCAGTCCTGCGGGAACTGGGGGAGGACAGGTCAATGTCTCAAGGAGGGGATGAAGCTGATTTCGTGGACAGAAGTATAATCTGTGGCTGGCTCAGGCCTTGGCCCCTTTGTGGTGTCAGACTGTTTGGGACAGGGGTGAGGCCAGGAAGGTGGGGACAGCTTTCCATGCCTAGCAAGAAAGCATCACAAAGAAAACAAGAGTATACAAAGAACAAACCAGGCACTGGGACAATAGTCAGGCCACTGCTGGCAGAGGTGGCCTGATTTCACCCTCCAGTACCCAGAGGAAAGACAGGTTCACACATCACACTTGGAGGGAAGGACAGCAGTTGTTCCTGTTGCCAGCAAGCAGGTCAGGGATGCCACCCTCTGGCTGGTTCTGCTGCTGCCCAGGATGGACTCCACAGCAAGAGTCCTTCATCTGCAACTGGAAGAGTAGTGCCTGTATCCCTGGGTCTGATGCCTGGAAAGCAGGCCTGGAACCCTGGCATCTGCTGCAGGACAGGCCCATGCTCTCCTGGACCCTCAAGAACATTTGGGAAGTGGATGCTTTGTCAGGGGAGGCCTTTCCAGCTCCTGTGAGGGGATCTGACTCAGGTCCATGTCATGAAAGTAGCCCTGGGGAAAGCAAAATGAGTGCTATTCCTCTGGTGTCCTGGCGGCAGGGAGTATCAGGCTGCATGGGTGCCAGAGGGATGTACAGATCCTGGAGACCAGCAAAGACCTGGAGTTGACCTGGCATCCTTGATCTGCCCAAAGTGCCTGCAGTAGCCCTGATGGCTGATGACATAGCCAGTTGAGACCTGGAGAGGGATGGTGAACCCAGGCTGATGGCCCTCACTGTGGCTGCCTGGTGGCTAATCTACCACTATTAGTGAGGACCTGTTGTCTCATGTCCATGCACAGTGCTTTGCCCAGGCCAGTGCTACCTCTGGCTTTGTGTTTGGGGAGTCACAGGACACCAGAGAGTGGCTGTGCACACACCTGTGCAGGGAGAGAGGCTGCCAGAGCCATGGAGACCCAGCACCCTGGATGTCTGTGATATCCCTTGGGGCAGTGAGGTCTGAGGGTTGCTGCATGCTGATAGCCTCTCCTTCAAAAGTCACCCTCCACACTGACAGAGAAGAAGGGACAGTGATGCTCTTGGCACGCTTCTGAGAAAGCAGGGACATTGATGGTCAGTGCAGGCTTTGGGCCTCTTGGCCTGGCCAGCACGTAGGTGGCCTTATAGGGCTCTCTGTGACCTCAGTGTTGTGTCAGGTTCCCATGGAAGCAGCAGGTCCCAGAGTGCACAGTCACCTGTGCCAAGGAGCTAACCTAGACCTCAGCTCAGTGCAGCTGCCTGCTATTCAGAAGGCGATGGCTTGATCCTGGGCACAAAGTATGTCTCCCAAGCTGCACTGGTACTGAGGCTGGTCACCTGTGAAACCATCTCCCACTCCAGCCCTGCAAACTCCCCAGTGTAAGAGAGGCCAGCCCCAAAATGACACTGCTGCTGCACAGACAGGTCCAGAAAGGCCCCGAGGGCCTGGACCACTGTGGCTGCCACTGATACCATGTGGCTTGAGACCGGAGGACATCAGGCACCTAGGGCAGTGTGGCTGGCTCTGGCCTTGGGTGGTCTGTCCTGGCCTGACCATGTGCCAGACTCACACTGCTTGGTACAGGGCACAAGGGATATTGTCTCCTGGCTTTGCCAACCAGAGAGTGATGATATGGCCACTGCCAAGGTCTGGAGAAGCTGAAAGCTATGTGCTGGAACCTTTGCTGGACTGAGAGTGAGTAGGAACCCATCTCATAGCACATGTGAACCAGGGTTTGTGAAAACACATGGTGACACACTCATCTGCCCCAGAATCTGGGTTGCAGGGTGGGCACCAAGGGAGAGCATTGGAAGGGGGTAAACACAACATTGGGCATGGCCCACTGTGGCAGCTGGACTGAAGTCCTGGAGGACTATGGGCAAACCTCGTCACCATGTGGCTGGCATGGCTGCGTGCCAGGAGTGCCAGCCCAGACACTGTCACCTCCCAGCTGCTCACCTGTGGTGTTGCCTAAGGAACCTGGCCCCCTCATAGTCTGTGATAACATCAGCCCCGGCATGGGAACAGAGACTGGGTAGGAAAGCCAACCCAAGAGAAGAAAATGTTCTTCCCTATTGTCTCATGATGTGTGACTAGGCTGTGTTTACAGAGCTAGAAGGAAGTGGCCGACCTTCAGGTGGCTAGAAAGAACAAACATAATTAAAAACATTCTTGGGATAATGGTGTTCCTCCTGGGTTATTGGGGCAAGAATAACTGGTTATGCTTGCTTGCTTAACTTAGATAGTTCAGATAACATTGTAACTTGTCACAAAATGTGCTATTGCAAGATAATCGTCTGTGCACTGTGAGTTGATCCGGTTCACTATATAAGAACCTAAAAATAAAGTACAGCATGCAGTAGCAACTGCTGTTTTCTCTGCTCTGCATCCCCCGTGTCCTGATTTCATGTGTGCCTCTTCCCGGGGTCCCGAGTGCACTAGACACTCGAGACAAGTGGCGCCCGGAACAGGGACCCCGATGGTCGTTCAGGAGAGGTTAGTGTATATTTTTATTATGGGGAAATGGGACAATCTCCTTCTTCACCCTTCTTAAAAATTCTTAAGCATTCACTTTCTATGTATGGTATATTGTTAAAGTCTGCTGATTTAGATATGTGTGTTCATACAATAAAGGAATATAATCCTTGGTTTCCAGATGAAGGGACCTTGTATGTAGAATTGTGGAAAAGAGCCAGAGCCAATATAGAAAAGGCTATGCGGCAGGATGAAAAAATCCCCTTGCGTTTTTGGGCTATTTGGTCAGTTGTCTACTCTTTGCTAAAAGCCATGGAAGATGAGCATATTGTAGAAAATTTTCAACAAGAAATTAAGCCTGTCATAAAAGAACTACCTCTCAGTGAAGAGGAACAAATAATTGTACAAAATGACGCTATTAATCTAACGAACGAAGAAGCGTCAAAAACGAAAGTAAAACTTGCCATGGCCGAATTGGCCTTAAACCCTGCGGCTGTTTCAGCTCCTGATGATCACCCTTTGTTACAGGCTGTTCAGCATCTCACTCAAGCGGTAGAACAGCTTTCTACTAAACAAAGCCCTCCTGTGCATCCCTCCGCACCGTCTTTTTCTAACTATGAATACAAAAATCGTGCTCGACTTACAGATAAAGATTGGAAAAGAATGAATTTGGCTTTGGCTGATATGCCAGGATCAGAGGACTCTGAGGATGAAGAAAATTCTGTCTTTGCTTTCCCTATTATTAGGCCACAAAATGCAGATGGAGTGGCACTTCCCCCTAGGTGGGAAGGATTTAATATAGATGATTTAACAAAATTAAAAAAGGCCGTGACACTCTATGGCCCTCAAGCTCATTATACTAGAGAGTTGTTATTAGCGGTGTCAGATCATTACAGGAATTTTGCTCCTCATGACTGGAAAACATTGGCTAAAACTCTTTTGAGAGAACCAGAATATTTACAGTGACATATGTGGTTTATGGAAGGATGTGCTGAAAAAGCACGACTTAATGCTTTAGATCAAAACCCTAATGTTAGGCTTATTACATATCCTATACTTTCTGGCACAGGCTTTTATGAAAATGTTGATCATCAAGCCGCAGCTCCTATTGAAATTCATAATCAGTTACAAAATATTGCTCTGGAGGCCTGGGATAAAATACGGCCTCAAGGATCATCTTATGGGTCTTGGGCTAAAGTTCTATAAAAGGCCAATGAGCCTTATGTTGAATTCATTGCACGCCTCCAAAATGTAATTGAAAAGACTGTTGTTGGCAAGGATTTGCAACAACATCTTTTAAGGTCGCTGGCCTTTGAAAACGCGAATGAGGAATGTAAAAAGGCTTTGCTCCCAATAAAAGATACCGGAACCATAGACAATTTTATTAAACAATGTAAGGATTTAACTTCTGAAACTAGAAAGATGCAACTTTTTGCTGAAACTATGGTAACCACATGGAATAATTTGCAATCCAAAAAAGAACAATCTATTAAGTGTTTTGGCTGTGGCCAGACTGGGCATGTGAAACGAGCCTGTCCAAAGCTTTCAGGTGATAATCAAGGAAAAAAATCTAAAGCTCCTGGTCTTTGCCCAAAATGCCGTAAAGGGTGTCATTGGGCCCGTAAATGTAGGAGCAAGCAGGTAAATTCTGCTAAACATGAGGGAAACAGGAAACTGGGCCTTACCCCGGGCCCAGGACAAATCAATGGGGGAAACCCACCATATTCTCTTTACAACCTCCCACCCAACACAGCGCCGCAGTGGAAATACCAGCCATAAAAGATTTAGAGTTAAAAGGTGGACAATCCCCTGTGAGGGTTCCTACAGGAATTTTTGGTCCTTTGCCTGTAGGCACTTTCAGATTACTAACGGGCCGATCTAACTTAAATCAAAAGGGCATTACTGTCCATTTAGGAATCATTGATGCAGATTATACAGGAAAGATTCAAATTTTAATGTCGTCACTTACTGATTATAAATTATCAAAAGGAGAACGCATAGCTCAACTTATATTATTACCCTATGTTCCTATAGGCTGTTCCTCTATTCAAAGAACTGGAGGATTTGGCAGTACTAATCCTATTAATGTAATGTGGACATCCAAGTTGTCTCAACAACAGCCTATTATTAGTATTTTTATTGAGCATAAGAAAATTCAGGCTCTTATAGATACTGGTTCAGATATCACCATAATAAAGACCACAGATTGGCCTTCTCATGTTACTTACAATATTATTCCATTGTAATATCAAAGGAGTAAGCAAAACTCCGGTAAATACCATTGGTCAAGCTACAACACATATACATATAAAGAATGAAGAGGGTCAGATTGCTGTTATTAAACCTTATATTCTTGAAGTTCCAGTTTCCATACTGGGGAGAGATACATTAGAACAATGGGGTGCTCATATACATTTCTAATATTTTAGATGATTCCTTTGAAACTTAATTAGAAAAATGATGACCCTATCTGGATAGATCAATGGCCTTTGACTATGCAAAAATTACAGACAGCACAGGAATTGATTGATCACCATCTCTCCCTTCATCGCATAGAATTATCCACTTCTCCTTGGAATTCACCAATATTTGCGATAAAAAAGAAATCAGGCAAGTGGAGACTTTTAACAGATTTACAAGCTGTTAATACATCCGTGTACTCCATGGGAGCTCTTCAACCTGGTATTCCTTTACCTTCAGCGCTCCTTGCTGGCTGGCACGTATATGTTATAGATTTACAAGATTGTTTCTTTACTATTCCTTTACACCCTGAGGATAGTAGAACTTTTAAACAATTTTGTGCCCTTCATGATATCATTCATGTTACAGGGATTGAATATAATCCTCAAGGATTATATTCATTGTCGAAAGAGCACATGGCACTCTTAAGTTACAAATTAAAAAATTAAAAAGGAGGAAACAAGAGGATGTTCAGATACCAATATTGTTAAGTTTACAGAATAGTCCAAGAACATTATTACATCAGGTACTGTTTATTTTAAATTTTCTCAGTTTACCACAAGGTGAAATATTGACAAGGGCTGAAAGACATTTCGAACAGCAGCAACAACCATATGTGATTAATGAGCCTATTTGGACTAAAACAGCCCCAGAAGCAGAATAGGAGAAGGGTACATTGCTTTATAAGGGGAAAGGTTATGGTTATATCTCCACAGAACATGGCATTCAACAATGGGTCCCCGGATGATGGATCAAGATCCGCGCCTCGAGGTCCCATCCGCTTGGCAGTGAGACTCCCAACAAAAAAACCGTATCCCCAGAGGCGGGCACGGAATCAACAGGACGATGAAGATGGTGTTCCTGTCACCGCTATGGCCAGGCTGTATTTGGGGTCTCGGGGCTGCCGCTCACGACGGCCAAATTTAAACCCTCTCCCTACATAGGGACAAATAAAAATATTGACCCAAGAGGGGCAATGGCTTGTCCTTCAAGCAGGGAAGCCTTTAAACCCTAAAAATTTGTTTTTAGCTTTATGTGCCTTGCTCACCGTTGCATTGGGGACTGAGGTACCCCAACATTCTCATTGGGCTTATATTCCAAATCCCCCTTTACTGGAACCTGTAGTGTGGGGAACTATTGATATATCACTATATATAACACCAAGAAAAAAATTTTGTCAGCACCGTGGGTGGATTTAACCCCCCATAATCAGGATGATAGAACATTGTTCAATTTTACTTATTATGGTAATCAACGGCCCATTTGTATTGGAGAACCACCTTGCATCCCTCTGGGATGGCAGTATTGGATTCAACATGGAATAAAAGCAGGCGATGAGAGGACAAGGCTTCAAGCTTTGGCTGCTCAAACTTTTAATGTTACCTGGAAAAATTTAACAGCCCCTGATAAAAACACATATCCTGTATGCCCTGATTTCACTTATAACAATATTTCTTATAATCCCATAATTTGACAACAATGTATGGGGAAGTTTGCTAAAAATATTGATGGATATATTATTTGGGGACCATTTGGAAAATTTGTTAATGTATGTGCTAAATGAAATGAGACAAGATGTAATCTCTCTGTCATATATAGTCTTCCAGATCCAAAGAACATAACTAATGGAGCTCCCGTCTTCCCTCAAAAGACACATCTCCTGTGGTGGGGAGATGGTAAAATCGCCAATCCTGCTGTTGCCACCGAAGAGTACCCTCATAATCTCCAAAATCACATTTGGAAGATTCCAGCCGCTATGCAACCTGTAACCTTGTACAATGTTTCCTATTCAGGAACTAGTGGATCTGTATCTACTAATTATAATTTTATTAAGTTTATGATATACAATATTACTGTTTGTGCACCTCTGCCTTATGTCTTTTTAGTGGGAACTTTTAATTTTACACATTTTTCTTGTACTTGTTTAAACTGTCAATTGTTTACCTGTTTAAATAGCACATTAAATTTCACTAAACCTTATACAGTTATGCTTTTACAACAAAAAACTCATATTTGGTTACCTATAAATCTGACTCGACCATGGTCTCAAGACTCAGTAATCTCTGTTACTACTAAATTTTTTCAACATCTGTTAAAACGTACAAAACAATTTATTGGAATAGTGGTCGCTGTATTGTTGAGCCTGATAATTGTGGCATCTTTAGCGGCAGTATCAGGAATAGCTTTACAAACCTCTTTACAAAAAAAACATGTGGTGGAACAATGGCATGAGAATTCTCATGAACTTTGTTTAACCCAATGGCAAATAAATTCTAAACTGCAACAGCAAATAGACCTTCTTAAACAAACAGTTGAATAGATGGGAAAAAAATATTGGCTCTTCAACATCAAGTGTTTCTAAAATGTGATTGAAATTCAACTACCTTTTGTATAACACAGCGACCATATAATCAGACAAAACATAAATGGGAAACAATTAAAATGTATCTAAATGGGAATATCTCTGCCCAGGAGGAAATAGAGTCTTTGCATAATCAAATTGACAAAGATTTTGCAAAGCATAATGATGATAAATCCCTGGCTCAATTTGCTCAATTGCTTGCTCAGTCTTTAGAAGGACTGGATCCAAAAGAAATTTGGCAAAACATAACTCATACTTTAAGTGACATGGGACTTAGCCTAATCTTAACTCTTATCACTATAGTCCTTGTGTATTGTTGTTACATAAGACGAAATGCCACAAATAATTTGACCTTATAAAATTTTTTTTAAATACAAAAAAAGGAAGAACTGTGGTATCGCCTAAGGAGTCTGGCCCCCTCATAGTCTGTGATAACATCAGGCCCGGCATGGGAACAGAGACTGGGTAGGAAAGCCGACCCAAGAGAAGAAAATGTTCTTCCCTCTTGTCTCATGATGCGCGACTAGGCTATGTTTACAGAGCTAGAAGGAAGTGGCCGACCTTCAGGTGGCTAGAAAGAACAATAATTAAAAACATTCTTGGGATAATGGTGTTCCTCCTGGGTTATTGGGGCAAGAATAACTGGTTATGCTTGCTTGCTTAACTTAGATAGTTTAGATAACATTGTAACTTGTCACAAAATGTGCTATTGCAAGATAATCGCCTGTGCACTGTGAGTTGATCCGGTTCACTATATAAGAACCTAAAAATAAAGTACAGCATGCAGTAGCAATTGCTGTTTTCTCTGCTCTGCATCCCCCATGTCCTGATTTCGTGTGTGCCTCTTCCCGGGGTCCCGAGTGCACTAGACACCCGCGACACTCACCCTCACCTGTGCTGTTGTATGGACAGGGATAGGCACTGTTCCTGAACACAGCGGTGAATCCTGAGGCAGGGACAATCCTGTGGGTCCCAGGGACTCCTGGATGCTCCCCCAGTGGGGCAGCTGCTTTCTGCTGAGGTGTGGGGCATCTCAGGTCCCGAGTTTGGACCTCCTTGATGCTGTTGGACTCTGGACCTGGGTCATGACTTGTGCCCTGTGGGCAGCAGTTGACCTCCAGGACTGGTATTGCATTTCACCATTAGTTCAGGGATCACCCACGGGCCTGGCCTGCCTGTTACATGTGTCGTGGCCTCCAGGACGCCAGCCCCCAGCCACTGCCATGCTGTCTGACCAAGAAGCTGTCACAGGAGTGTCATGCTGGGCATGCACATTTACCAGGACAAGTTCCTACCAAATGTTTGTTTTCTTATCAGTGGCTTTGCAGTTCTATTGCTCTGTTGTCTCTGTGGCCAAAGGCTGCCCTGCATACCAAGATGTCCCTGCAGTGGGTTGATCTTTATGCCAGGCAGATCCTGTGCCACTAAGCTGTATCCCCAGCCCAGAAGGCAATGTCTTAACCCATGAATAGGCACCTCTTTAATCCTTTGTGTGGGTCCAACTGGTCTTTCTTCTTCCCAGAACCACACTTCCTCCAGCGAGTCCCCAAACTTTTTACCCTGAAGAGTCCTGCATCTGCCTGCTTGTTCCTTGGTCTCAGGGCATCCTGCAGCAAGACCACAGGCACTCAGGCTGCCTTCCTCCTGAGCAAATCCTGAACCTCCAGGTTGGTGTGTTTAGTTCCCAGTTGATGAGGGGAAGGGAAGACAATGAGTTCACAATGAAAGGCAGAGTTTCTCTGCATGAGCAGACCTTAGTTAGGCTCCCCTGCCTTCTCCTGGGCCCACTGTGTGCTTCCTTATAAAACTCTGCTCTTGCAAGAATCCCACTAAGAATCTGCCCAAGGCCAGGTCTGATCACTGTGGGCTTCCTGTCAGGCTCCATATCCTCCACCACCTCCAGGTGGCGCCAGCCACCCTGCTGTGTCCTCAGCAGGTCTCCTTCCTCTGTTGGTTTTTGGAGCCCTCATTTTTATGGTTTCTCCTGCCAGTAATTTGCCATCCTGTGGGCCCACCCACTCCTTCAACCATTTTTACCCCGGCTTGTACCTCAGCTCCTCCTCCTTACATGAGACTCTGTTGCCACATGCTCTGTACCTACTGAGATGTTCTGAGATTTATGGACTATGACTGAATATTGTCTTCTAACAAAATTAACCTGACCTTGTGTGCCTGTACTCAAGGAGTTACTATACCGCAGACTAGAAATCTAGGGGAGATTGTGCTGGAAGAATGGGGACTTTAAAAAAATCCTTCTAGTTTCAAGTCTTATATTTGACTGAGTTTATCAAGTGGTCTTATTTCTCACCTAGGGAAGAACAGTGGAGAAACCGTGGCTTTGGATATGGTTCTTCAGAAGTAAGACTCGGTTCACTGCTGGCGACCTCAGAGCAGGGGTGCCAGGCTCCCCTGCATGCCCCATGTGTTCTCAGAGCTTCCTCTGCCTGAGGACGAGGCCCATGCTGGGCCTCCTTTGTGGCCGGTTCAGAGCTCTGGGCAGAAGCGGATAGAGCTGCTTTGCGTCTTTTCTCTGTAGATTTCCTCATACCTCTCATTCTGGGCCACTGTGAAGTGGTTTTTCCAGTCCCCCACAGTTCCTAGAGGACAGAAGCCAAAGCAAGAGTGTCATTCTCTGATTGAAGTTGGGTGGCCTGACTGGACCTCTGAGTGCTGTCTGGGGCCTCACCAGTCCACAGACAGGCACCCCAGGTTCCCATGAGGAGACCCCAGCTAGGAGGAGACTTCAGCAGAGGAGACCTCTGCTCTGAGCACAAGGTGGTCCTCCCTGAACCAGAGGTACAGTAAACAGGGACGTGGCTGGCCTGGCCTGGCCTGTGATGCAGCCACTCGCTGGATTCACACAGATGCCACAGCATGGGCACAGGCAAACCTCAACCACACAGAGGGATCAAGGACATTACGCTGCCCAGAGGCCTCAGACATGACACACCAAGACAGGCCAGATCAGTGTGTTGTGACAGGCACATTGTGCTGTTCTCTGATGTAGTGATGGAGTGGTAGGCATCTGAGGGCAGCTTTCCTCCCAGATGAGAAGGGTGCTCCTGTGACTGCGGGCTGCACAGGTACACTAGAATTCCTTGAACTGTATGCTTAAGATCTGTATGTTTTTGTGTGTAGATTGCCTCTCCATGAAATAATCCAGCACCCACTAAAATTAGAAATAACTTTAGGTACAGAAATACTCTGTCCCACTAAAGTCCCTCCTAGAACATTAGGAATCAGAAATAAAAGCACTGGGAGAGAAGGACCTGGGCACAGCAGTGTTTGATGCCCCACTGTTTGTAAGGATGAGCCCTGGCAGAGTAACTGGTGTCTGTCATTGAGAGGAGAGCTGGGGGTCGGTGGCAAAAACTCTTTGGTGGAACACAGGCCTGGAGCCAAGAGGGAGGACCATGACGTAGCACACAACTGTGTAACACAGCTGTGCCTGTGTTTCTGGGAGTGAGCCTATACTTTAGGCTGGATTTCTTCATGCATGCACGAGCTGGGCACAAGCTGGAAGTCCCCAGACTTGATGAGGAAGTGGGGCAGTGTAAGCAGAATGGGGCTATGTTATCTACGTGCAACGTGGAAAAGGAATGAAGTCATTATGTGCCACAAACATGGTTAAAAGAAATTTTTATAGAAAAAAAGGGAAAGGAAAGATGAGGCTCCTGCCTGCAGAAGCAGGTGGGCGCCAGGCTGTCACCCGGACTCTCCACAGAGAGGCAGCAAGACTTTCTCCTTTGCTGAAGCAGTGTGGCAACGTGAGAGGGGCAGATCAAGCCGGTGGAGAGCCGCAGGGATGGGAAGTGACCCCAGGCCATGTAGGCACCACAGCCCCACAGAGCAAGAAGCAAAATGTGTGTGCATGGCAGGAGGAAGAGACAACCAAACTAGGTGGCTGCTGCTTCTCAAATAAAAATGACAAAGTCATCTTCTTAGAAAAAGTGAGAGCTGGGCCAATTGGAATGCCTCTTTTCAGAATCTGAGCTAAGATCTATTAAGAGGTGCAGGAATGGGAGTAGGTAATCGTGATATACTGGGAGAGTATGCCAGGGTTGAGGCCAGGTCAGGAGCAAAAACTGAGGCAGGGAAGCTCCGGTGCCAGTGCCTCGCAGGAATGAGACCTACCCTCATGCAGTCAGTGTACCCAGATAGCCTGAGATTCGACAGAGGCCCCACAAACCTTTCCTCAAGAAAGAGGAAATGGATTGGTCCATGAGAGATTTGGGAACTGTGGAGCGATTTGTCATGGGATCCTCTTTTATTTTTTCAAAGGACGTCTCTCAGACAATTTTATCCAGCACTGCTTTTCCGAAGTTCTTTCCAATGAACTGCATCATCTTCCGAATTTCCTGCTTTGGGTTGTGGGGTGAGGTGGGTATTTGATTGGAATGCAAGAATTTCAGAGAGACTCTGTTTAGTCCCTCTATTAAGACACTGTTCAGTCCTTCAAGGTAAGCCAGAAACAGCTTTGAGGGGTGTTCTTCCCTCTTTATGTCCTCATAGAAAAGGAAGAGCCCCTGGTGTCTGTGGCTCACATCCCACCATCCTCTCATGTGGTCAAACTAGGATCCCCAGGCCACTGAAAGACACAGGGAGGTAGAGGCCACACAGGTGGGACAAAACCTTGCAGTCTGGAAGTTTGGAGTGAAGGAGGGCGAATCTAGCGTCAGGTACATTCTGGGGTCCTGCATTGGAAGATCTTTTGGATTGGGACAAGCCTTGGTTCTCTTCCCAACTTGCCACTTAAGTGGCTTCATGTTGGTTATGTGCCACCCGAGGTGCCCTCCTACAGGAAGAGGGGATTCTGCATGCAGTGGCCAGGATGGAGACTCCTGGGTTGCCTGGGAGGTGTTTGCCAAGAGTTTTGGGTCAGCATGGAGGCTGCCACCAGGATGCATGACCACCCTGCACTGTGACGCCCAGCTCTGGGCTCCTGCAAATGCACATGCAGGAGAAAATATCTAGGAGCCTGTCACCCGTGTTAAGCAGAAAGTCTAAGATGGGCAGGAGTTGGGTGTAGTTGCAGCTATGGCTCCAAGAAAGCTCTGCCCCAAAGCCTTGCCTGGAGACAGGCGGCCCTCCCTGAGTACAAAGCCTGTCAGTCATTTAAACACAAACATGAGGTTGAGTGAGTGGCCAGAGGAGTAGAGTCCACAGGTTACCAGCTGTTGCATCTCTCAGTCAGCTCCTTGGGATTCTTCCTCCACCCTGGACCCTAGCGAAAAGGAGCCTGAATCTGTGTTGGGTTGGGGATGTTGGTCCCTCTCTTCTGGGTCACATAGGTTTACTGGGTAAATCTTTCCTTGCCCCACAACTCGTCCTTAAGGCGGATTCTGTTTGAGCAGGGAGTGGTGTACTTGGGTTTGGGAAGAGGGAAGTAGGAAGTCAGCCCGGGGGCCAGATGTGCCCAGCACTGGGCAACCTTGTCTTTGGGTCACTCTGCATGGATGGAGGGAGGTAAGGGTCCATTGTGCAGTGTTGCCCAGGACCAGAAGCCATGGTAGTAACAAACCCTTTCTTAGCCCTTAGTGCTTACCAGAGCCAGCTCTTTCAGCCCCACACAATGAGGACAGAGGGGAAGAGCTGCCCACAACTGGATCAGCCTGAGATGCATTTCCTGGAGGGAGAGAGTCCAGCCTGCGTCCTGCTCCCAGGAGGATCAGACTGACCTGGTGCCAAGTGACCCTGTGCTGCTGCTCTTCTGCCCAAGGCCAACCCAGCTCAGACCAGGTGACTTCTGGACTTCAGGTGCCCTGCTGAAGCAGCCTTGTTTCCTGTGACCCCAGGACCTCCGCCTCACTTCTCT